CTGCTCGGCAAAAAGAATTCCGGAGCAAGCGCGGTGAGAACAAGAGTAACCAGCGAGGAGGACATTGCAAAGGCAGTGAGGGCAAAGGAGGCTCTCAGGAGGGCAAGACTGGTGGATCCAGGAAAGTACGGAGATGCTATTCCTGTGGCAGTGAAGATCACATACGGTCAAATTGTCCTGACAAGTCGAAGGTGCAGGAGAAGGCTGATGACGCTGAACAGAAGCGCAAGCCACGCGGGAACTGCACGCTACGGCAGGAAACCACTGGACAAGTGCAGATGAACCGTGAGCTGGACGAGGGTGTTGTAGCTGGGGTGGCACAATCTCATGAAGTACATGACGTCCCTTGGGAACACGGTGGAGCACATGGAGTGGATGTATCTGTGCATGGTGAAACAGCTCGAGAAGCTGGAGATCATGTCGAAGGTCAAGACTTTCACACTGATGATGCACATGGAATTGTGAGCGACGACGAAGTAGTGAGTGACGAAGACCCAGCAAATGAGACTGAGGCAGACAGTGTTGAGGCACATCTGGAGGACAGTGATCAAGAAGCTGGAGGATCTAATGGCGGGTGGTGGTATCTGGATACGGCTTCCAACTCGCACGTCACGGGAAATTTCGCTGAATTCGTGTCGTACACGGCAGACTTGGAGCAGTTGCAACATATCCGAGGAGTTACGCCTACAATTGCTTCCCGTATAGCTGGAATGGGAACAGTGGCATTTACGACAGAGGTTAATGGAGAACAAGTAGTGAGTTATCTCGATGGAGTACTATATATTCCGGACGCTGAGTATGGCTTGTTTTCTCCGGGTTTAGCTTTTGAGCAGGGTTATACCCTGGAACTCGACAATGAAACGAGGAATTTTCACATCTTGAGAGAGGGAAGGACTGTGGCTGTTGCGACGCCGCAGGATGCAACTTGGGGATTCCAGGTAGCGAATCCGACCCAAAGAGCAAGAGTGATCCCAGAAGAAGCAGCATTGTGTAATCACACTATGGCTCAAGGTGTTGGTTCGCTGCAGCTTTGGCATGAGAGACTGTGTCACATCTGCCCGCAGTATTTGAAGACTATGGTCGACAAGGAGCTGGTGCAGGGAATGATGTTGACGCAGCGACAGCAAGATACGTGCGATGCTTGTCATATTGGAAAACAGAAGATGAGACCACACAGAAAGAAGCTGGATCGTGGACTGAAGAGACCCAACCAAGTAGTGTATGCAGATCTTTGTTTCCAGGCAAGTGCAATGCAACTCAATATGAGGCTGTGTTGGTGATTATGGATGGTTATTCGCGTTTTGTCACTGTGCACCTGCTGAGGAACAAGGACAGCAAGGTGGTGAACAAGTACATGCAGGAGTATGTCTTGTGGGCAGAACGGCAGGCAGGTCGAAACGCCAGCGGAACGACATACAAAGTGCAGCAGATATTGAGTGACAAGGGCCGTGAATTTTTCAATGAGGGAATTGATGCATGGTATCGTTCGAGAGGAATTGAGCATGTTAAGGTCGGGCCGAAAAGCTCACAACTCAACCTGTGCGAGCGTACGCATCAATCATTGGAGGACATGACTAGGTCTACGATGGCACACTCGGGGTTACCGAGGAGCTTGTGGCCTGAGGCTATTAGAAACGCGGTTTATGTCAAGAACCGAGTGTACAACAAGGGAACTGGCGGGATCCCGTACGAGATGCTGTTCGGGGCTAAGCCAGACGTACACCATATCCGGAAGTTTGGAGCGCTGGCTTACGTGTATGTACCAGCGACTCCTGGACGCAAGAAACTGAGCGACCATGCGAAGATCGGCTTTGTACTGGGGTACACTGAAGATGTCGTCGGATGTAAGGTGTATTTCCCTGATGAGCACACAGCAAAGTTCGTGTCAGATCTGCGTGTTGCAGAAGATGTACTGTATCGTGATCGATATGCAACCGAAGTAGGAGATGATGATCTCTCTTCGCTGCATTTCACGCATCGAGACGATGACCAGCCTGATTTGAGCGAGCTGAGTGACGAGCCGTCTTCTGAGCTCGAGGGAGGCGAGTATGCGGATGTCATGCAGACACAGGGTGGCGAGCGTACTGACGTGCAGACACAAATTACACAAGATGTATACCAACCTTTGCATCATGCCGATGATGACCCTGTACGCTATGTCGGTGGTGAAGTTACCAGTAGACTCGGAGACAGTGTTGAAATGAATGGTGATGTTAAGCTCGATGTTGAAACTGTCCAAAACAATGGTGAGGCCGCTGAGGATGGTA